AAACACAGTGGAATATTATTAAGTGTGGTAGTATCTATCCTTAAAAATCTCACCCATACTGAGAGAAGCCTGTCCAAAGACAAAGTTCCAGGAGTCTTTAGGGTACAGGTCAATCATTGTGATTCCAACAATACAAAAAGCATCTTTTGGTTTCCTATTCCCCAGGAATCGCAGCAGGTCACCTACATTTTACCAGAAGACAACAATAACAAAGCAATATCAGTGCAATTTAAGGTTCAATGATTGAAGAAATGTATTTATCATTAAACAACACGAGGTTGCACAACAACATGTTTATTTTTTACCCCTCATTCTCTTGCATTTCGACATGGAAAGTGCCCAAAACCCTCCCAATAGATATGGTAAAATGAAGGCTAGCTTTAGGTACTCACCAGTGAGGATCTGAAGGTTGTGCGAGTTACTGTTAACCCTAAAAGAGCATCCTGTCTTAGCCACAGTAACCGCCGGCAGAAACTTGACAGAAAGCCCATAGAAGAAGGCCTGGCAGTATTCTCTGAGCCACTCCATATACTGGTCTGTCTGCGGCCCTGCCTCCCCAAAGGAGCCTACAAAAAATATAGTGTAGAATTAAGGCCTGCCAACCCTGTAACATGCTGTCCATGTCTCATCCATCTGTGTAGCCCACAATGTAGAATGTAATTCATTGCATCTCTTGTCATTCAGGGACATGATGTAGCATGCATTTTAAGTGCTCATGGACTATGTGTTATTATACCGACATTGGAAAATAGCGAATATGCACATACTTACATGTTCTTTCCTTAAAAAATGCCCATCTTATCAGGGCTAATGCTGTGAGAACATTTTCACAAACACCCACATACTTGACAAGGACTGAGGAATACAGACACTCTAGCTTCACCACGCACACAAACATACCCACCTATGGTTTGAATATAAATAGTATTCTGGCTTGCATTCGGGGTCTTGCGGTAAGGGTCTCTGTAGAAGCTCTGGAAGTCTTGAGGCTCCTCGGGGTGAGCGTTAATCCAGTCAGAGTCAGAGTGCAATGTGATGGGTTGGAAAAGGGAACCTGGGTGCCCTGGGTGGAATCCTTCCTCCAAGAGACGCCTTTCTTCTTTTGTGTACTTGCTGTAAAGTTTTGCCAAGTCCTGACGATTGGAGACCAAAGCTGTCTGCAGTGTCTCCACAGAGTGCTGGATCACCTTCATCTGCGGGACAGATATACAGCATCACCATGGTTACAGATGAAGTCAAGTTGAATTTTGTAACATAGCTTTGCTATCATGGCTACCTTGGTATACTGGTATACTGGTATACCCCTGATTCTGAATCAGGGGTATACCAGTATTGATAATAACCGTGATATTTAAAGAGTGAAATATTGATATTATATTAATAATTCACATATGATAATATTGTGTACACTATCCGGTGCCTCTTAAATAATTTCTTTTAGTTCTCCCTTAGTGGTTCACACTCCAACATAGTAGGTGCTGGTAATCCATTTGCCAAAAAAGACACAAAACAAACAATATAAGTTAAAGATGAATTTGACTAATAATGTTATTATCTTTATTTTGTTACATTTTCTTGAAATATCATGATAATATAGTTATTGTGAATTCTTTCTCACCACAATAATCGTGTAATGAAAATCTGATATTGTTATCATCCTATTCTGAAGATTAAATGTGTCCTGGTTATATCCACCAAAATAGAACACAGCAAAGCAAAATATATGTTACAGAAACTATTAGACAGTATATATATATATACATATTGGATAGAAATTTATAAGTTTATTAAAATACTAAACTACAGCACATTGAGGGTATACAAAATAGACACTTAAATTAACAAAATATTTGCTAAATTGCAGTGTACAAACATGTTCTGAGGACCACACAAGTGCAAATAGTGTGTAAGTAGACATAAATAGTAAAAACCCGCCTGGAGAGACGCTGTCCATCTATTTCAGATACAATATATCCTGATAAACTCCAGCCAGCAGCACACATTAGACGACAGGAAAACCCCTTTCATGGACGCTCTATGAAAACCTCCCTTTAACGACAAACGCATCAACTTATTGAACACACAAACGGGATCCTTCGCCCCGATGTTGACAGGCAGTCCACCATGGTGTTGACACCGGAAGCCGTCTCAGCCCTGTGTTCCATCCGATGACGTCAGGTAAACAGAGGGGAGGAGCTCTTCACTTGAGGCGACATTTGACGACAAGCGAAGAAGACGGGCTCACTACTATGGCACACCTAACGACCGCGGAGCGTCAGTTACCCGACGTTAACGGTTAATGTATTTTCAACTTTGCTCGTTCAGTTGTTGTTGTTTTTTTTTAGCGCCGGGCTGCTGTCAAGTACAGGCAACAGTTCACCACAGTTAACGGCGAGGGGACGGAATACGAAAGCGGAAGAACTTTCCGTAGTTAGCTTGACAAGTAGCTGGTGTAACGCTGCACGGTAGCGGCCAGCAGGCTAGCTGCTCCCTCTCCTGTCGTTTCCCGGAGCTCCTCGAGATTTCACGGCGTCAACGAGAATACCTGGTAGTTAACAGTTAGCTGGTTGTCTTTCAAACGCCCAGAGGCAGTTTGTACCACCGCCGAGGCGTAGGCAGGGCGGACTGGACTTGGAGCAGTGACAGGTCGGAACTAACCCGTAGCTGAGGTTGGTGCTACGCTGCGGCGAGCTGTGTTTGAGCCGGCTGGAGACACTCACACATCAGTGACTGTGTGATGAGCTGAGAGGGAGCTGGTCATACTGAGTCTCTGCGAAATGGTCGTGGAGCTGTAACATAGCCAAAGCTTTAAAATAAGATATCTCAGTCCGGCTCACAAGGAGGGTCAACCTTTCGCTTTGCCAAAAACAAAACAAAAAGCACCCGTGAAGACTGCAGAAATGCTGACTGACAACAGGTAACTACATTAACCCGCTTCTTTTTTTACACATACAATATTACACCTGATAATTGTAGCACTTTATTGTAACGTAGATCACTATTACAACAATCAAAAGCCAAGATGATGCCCTAGACAGTTCAGGCTGACAGTGTAGTATTAATGTAATATCCACATTGTATGTTCAGTGTGTGTGTTCATCAATGTATTCTCATAATGGGAGTGCCACATGTCTGATCATGTAACTGCCTGAGTGTGAGTTGCTATTTTTGGTTCCTCTTCGTGTTTTCTCTTTTAGATACTCTGCCTTTCTCCGCCCAACCCCCCACCCTGCATCGTTTCTGTCACACTGTGTTTTTTTTTCCTCCACTTTTATGTTCACTCTACTGCGCTCACAATACTCTCTGTTCCTCCCATTTCGCTTTTTGCACAGGAAACGACACCGTAGCTGTGACAGTGAGGAGGACCAGCAGCTGAGTCCCCAGGCCAAGAGGTCAGGAGGGGGTCCCAGCCTGCTTGTTTCGGATTTGGACTCAGAGGTGAGACTGACTTGACCATCACACAGATATAAGTTGATCCAGATTCCATCGTTTGGGAGTGGATTTAGCTTTCTGCTGTTAAGGTCATTTATTCTCTTAGTTTATGTAACGCCCATTGACATTTATTAGCAATCTGGCATCATGCATACAAATACAGGTGACTCTGCATTGCACATGTAACGCACCACTATCAGGGCAACCTCCGAATGTTTTATTTAAAGCTTCTGCATCCATCCGTGAAACTACACTTCAGAGCCCGTGTCTGTTCTGTGTTCGCAGTCTTCCAGCAGTGACAGCAGTAACGGGATCAGCAGTCCAGAGAGAGCAATAGTGGCCACCACCAGGCCATGCATACACAGCCAGAACAACCGCATCACCCAGCACTCCCTCAGCCCAAAGCCTGAAGACTCTGCTAGCTCCTTGCAGCATGGTTTCCATGGCGACGGCAGCAGTGTCTCCTATGACTACATCAACAGAGTCCTGAGGGAGGCGCACTTCAGCAGTCTGCAGACCAGAGGGCGTCCAGGCTCAACATGACCGTGACCTCTGACCCCTCTCCTGACCTTTGGTCCCTCGCCCATCAGTGCTGACACTGCTGGCACGGTGGCTCCTCCTTGAAAGCCTCAAGCGACACACTCGGGTCAGGGGGGAAGGGGATGACGTGTGGGGAGGTTTACAGATTTTGGGCGCAAAGGCTCATCCCCACCTCACTATGTACCATTTGTCAAGACCATAAGCACATCCGCCTTTCCATGGCCCAGCCACTGTGGTTTTCTGTGCAGTATTGATGTGTATGTGTGTTTGTGTGTGTGCACGCACCCTGTGCACTTTATAAAGAGGTATCGTTCTCTTTACATGCGTGCGTTGATGCGTGGACATTTTCATTGGTGCTAATCACAAGAAAAGTGTGATGAAGATGATCCAAAGTGCTTGCAAAACTAAATAAAGCTAAGCACTTTACTCAATAACTCCTCATTCTGTTTACTCTCGACTGGGGAAGTCAGTCGCATGTTTGTATTTGTGAAGAGGGAGTTGTAGTGATCCCATTCACAAAAGAAGTTCATGGAGGCCAACGGATTCACTCCCAAGGAGCATTATTAAAACAAACAAGTAAAATAACATTTTAGGCCTTATTTGTTTTCTTTAACCAAAGTGGTAAATACTGTATCTGCAGTTACTTTCACTATCTAAATTAATCTATGTTTTGGTGTGGCAGGTCAGTAGGTTCAAGGTAATGGAACAGAGATTCCTCATGAGCCTCACCACCAAAGTCCAACCTCAGATTAGACCCAGGCTAATTATAGAGTTGTGAGAGCAGGCAGTGGAGTCTGCAGCTCAGGCAGCGTCATGCTCAGCACAGTAATTCTAACAAAAACAGCCTCAAGGAAACACTCTAAATCAATTTGTAACCATGTGTTTACTTCTGTAACATTTTACACATCGTGTGTTTCGTAAGCCTGTCAGCCATACTTGTTTCTGTATGGTTTAATAAGACCAGCACACTGTGTTGCAAATAAAATGAGATGTGAAAGTGATTAATATTTTATGTAATTTTCCAAATCATTTGACATTGAAATAAAGCGTTGCTGAAAGGAGGTCTTTAGAGTTCTATGAAGTACAGTATAACAAGACTCATTTATGTAGTGGTTAGTGCTGTAGCAAAAATACAGCATGTTTTATTGTTCTTCAGCCTGTCCAACAGCATAGCTCGTGTTCACTGACACAAAATACATCAGTAGTGCTTATTGTACACATCAGCAGGTTGAAGTACCATCTGGGCATGTACTTTGTACTGTGTTCCACAGTACTCAACACCAATATGTAACTGAAATGATATAATGAAGGTAATCTCTTTATTTGGTGACATGAGCGACTGAAATCAGATATCTTGCGTTATGCTGACTGTAGATGTTTTGACAGTTCCACACTTCACTTATGCACACAGAAAATCTCAATAATTCACTTTTCCATTAGTTCTCCAAACTGTTCTTTAAATCGTAGACATGCACTCTACAGCCACTCACAGGTATGTTTAGGATAGACATAATAAATAATTTGTAAACTAACACTCATAACATTTACATTTACATAATTGCTTAGTACCAAAAAATATGGAAGACAACTCATTTGTAGGTTTAGGAGTCCATAAGAAAAGCAACTGTAGTGCAAATTACAGATTGAGGGATTCTCCCCTCAGAGGTTTAGGAAGTGCTGCAGAGGCCTAAGAGTTGTTTCAGTTAGCTAAAAGGAATCCTGAGATAAAGCAATAATAACCTGTAATTCAATACAACCATTCCTGGGAAATACTGTTCAGAAATTACACCTCAGCCAACAAACTCAGTTTACAGACCAGGTATGACAACCATGACGGATGAGGGCAGTCATCCATACTCTTGACCCAAACTGCTCCTTAAATACAACTTCTAAGGAGGCACTATACAGATAAGAACAGGAAACCCAATTCTAACATGACGTGAATATGCCGTGTGTATATATATATAGTTATAACCTTACAGATCTGATCTCGGTTTATAAAATTAAATAGATTTCTGAAAAGGATATACACAATGACATCATTGGTTTTGGTGCGACAGTACCAGCTGTAAAAAGTTGGTCAAAAGTTGAGAAATGAGAAGGCTGATACCGGTTGGCTGCTAATTGACAGAGCGTTGTCACTGGTTTTACAGACGTTGATACTGTTATGCACAGCTGGATTCTCCCTTAAGCTGTCATCTGTCATGTCTGGCGCTCTCTCACACAGGGGCCTCCCCTTGGTCACCAGCTCCATACCGCTGAACAGGGACAGTCTGCTCAGACAGGGCTGCTCCCTCTGGGGCTCAGCGGTAGGAGAAGAGCTCCTGTCTGCGTTAAGCTCGGAGTCTTCAGCCACCAATTCAGCCTCAGCAGTCCTGACTGGCTCTACCTGGTTTTGAACTAACTCTTGCTGAACGGGAGAAGGTTTCTCCTCATCAGCGTCATTCATCAGCTCCCCTGGGGAGTCTCTCTGCGCCGAGGCCAGAGTGGAAGGGGAAGATGGGTGATCTGGTGGTTGTGTGACAGCTGTGGGTGAGATGTCAGGCAGACAGTGGTTGAGGTTGGTGTTGTCAGCAGAGTGGGTTGGTAGTAAAGGGTCTGAGTATGTAGTTGTAGGAAGCTGATTAGTTGTTGCGTGATGGCTGCTGTTCGCTGTATCCTGTCTGGGAGCGTGTGGAGACCCGCCCATCAGAGCCTCAAACTGTCGCAGGATCTGGTAAGAGGAGATAAAGACAAATAGATTACAGCATTTTGAGTATTATCTAGTTCTGTCCTATCAGTCTTCACCATGTGGAGCTTTCTCTTTATGCGTCTCCTACCTTGGTGGCTTTGTTGGCCACCGGTCCTGGAGCCCCCTCACTCAACTGGCGGAGCTTTCGTTGTGTAGCTGCAAACATTTGTTCCAGAGAGAGGAGGTCAGAGGTCAGGAGGCAGGAAACAGCACACAGTGCTCGCTGCAGGATTGGAGGAAGACAAAGATATCCGTATTAGGATTACACAGCATCATGAAGAAAACCTGGATCTTCAGTGAATTCTATCCATTGTTACCATCTTAACAGTGTTTGAGGGATCTTGAAGCTTGCATGAGAGCAACTCCAGCACAACCTCACAATTGAGAGTGGAGCACCTGGACAACAGAAACACCGAAGTCACATCACATCACATCAGCATTCAAATAGACAAATAATATAGTTGGTAAAGGGAGAGGCAGCTGTATTCTCAGTCTGATTTTAGATGCTCTCACTCTTTGATGAAGTGCTGGCTTTCCTCTCTGGACAGGAAAACTCTGGATCCTTCAGTCAGTCTGCTGATGAGTGCCATCTCCTGGCCACAGTCCCCCAACTGCAAAGCTTCCACCCTGGACAGCAGACAGCGTATGAGACAGAAATGTCAATGATGTGGAGAAAGGGAGAATATGTGGGGTTTATCTTATGTTAACACTGCCACTCACCGTTCTGATAGGTCCCCACTGCTCTCTCTACTGGCGCCAGACTGGCTCCCAGTACCAGCTGACTTGCTGCCCACAGAGGCCCTGCTGTTAGCGGCAATATCCTGAGAAGAGTTGTGCGAGGAGCTGTTGCCGCTGTCGGTCTCTTCCCATCCGCCTCCTACCTGCCCTGGGCACCGCTGGGTCAACGCTGTGGTGGACGCACACGGTAGTGAGATTCAAGCCTTCCATTTAGAAACCTAAGCCCATGTTTCCATCGCACCAGCATCTCACCTTTTGGTTTGCGAGCAGGCAGGTTATAGGCACACGCGGGCACGGCCACCTCTATGGGCGCAGACGGCGCAACTACGGCCCGGTAATGGTTGTCATGGAGACGGATGCCCTGGTGCTCAGTTGGGGGAAGCACAGCACTGGCCACTACCTCTGCAGCCTTCTGGATCTTATCCAGCAGTGAGTCACTGCCTGCTGGGAAGCACAGGTACAGACAGTACAAAAGGTACAGAAATGTACACAGACGATAAGCTTGATTGGATTTGTATGCAGTGTGTGTGTGTGTGTGGTGTGTGTGTGGTCGTGTGTGTGTGTGTGTGTGTGTGGTGGTTTGTCGGACTCACCTGTCCCCTGCTTGCCTGGACTGTATCCAAAGCCTTGCATTCCTGACCTGTGGGAAGTTGCTGAGCCCATACCTGCACAGAAAGACACACAGAAGACATATTGTACTCAGGGCTTTAGGTTCACAAAATACAAAAGAACCTTATGTAACTGATTAAAATCCATTAATCTCCTTATAGACACTCTAATATGTCAGATGATGTACAGTATCATTACATATAAAAGGACAATTTGAGTGTGTCCAAGTTTTATTAGGGTATCCATATCTGTAACCCCAGTGCAATGTGACAGTGTAATTAGGTGATTAGTGTGAAGTATAGTCTTTGTTATTAAATGAAGGGCTTGTTTTTTACTCACCCATTTTTGGGGGAGCCAGGTTGAGCGGGGAGATGCCGCTTTTTGTGGAAATTGTATCTGTGAAAAGCAACCTGGCCACTTCCTGCAACCAGAACAAGTCAAATTGTAGTGCGTTTGCGCAGCTGTCACAGATATATGATTGACATTATGATTATACACACAACCTCACCTGGGCTGCATTTCTCACTTTCTGGTACAATGCTGTGCCGTGGATAGGATCAGGAGGGCCGCTGTAAACTTAAAAAGCACAACACCCGACAGCGAGTGAGTACTGAGGTGACGGAGCAGCCCCACAGTGATGAGAGTTAAATGGAGCTAAAAGCACAATGTCTAACCTGATGCTTGCTGGATGAAGGTGGAGTTCCTTCTAAGTTCTGTCAGGAAATGGTTTGAGCCATGATCGCAAAGATGGACAAAGATCTTCAGCACCTAACACAACAGAAGCATAAACGGAACAGAGTTACTCACACACAGGAAACGGAGGAAACATAAAAAGCCTTACACATTGCGGCTACATTACACAGCTCTATCGAACATACTACACACAGAAACTTGAATAATATCGCTGTCCTTACCTTCAGTTTGACGTGGCAGGACTGCACCTGGAGCCTTTCCAGAAGGTACTCCAATAAACACTGACCATAACCTAAAGACTCATGGGAGATTTCTACAGTGTGACAGCGGTTAAGGGTAATACTGTAGTGTAATAGAGTCAGTATGTCTAATCTGGACAAAGTCTTCCCTGGTTAGAATACAAAAACATTTAAAAGGCACGAGCTTTGTTATGTGACATACCATCGAGCAATGGATTTCAATGTTCACACTAACAGCCTTACATTCTCTCTAAATACGCTTAACATTTAATCAAAAGTCCCTTGTTCACACTTGTGTAGACCACAGATGACATCCGGCAGCTATCGGCTAAGGAGGTTTCTTTGCATGTGTCGTGTGAGCCACCTATCATAGGTGTGTAATGTCCAGAAGAGGCTGCCAAAGGATACTTCCAATCTCTTGGAAAAGGTAGCCAGGACAGGGGTTTTCATCATCTGCTGTAGCCTTCATCAGAGTTGGGACCTTCATTGGGTGGAACAGATTTTAAAAGTGTGATACTAAATCACAAGTTCAAAGCTGACAGTAAGGGACTGTGTTACACCCAATGAGAACTGCACAGTCCACACATCATGAGACTATAACCCAGCCTGGTACTTCAGTTTGATTCATGGTGAAACAGATACAGATGGACACAAGCTTGGTATGACACCAGGAGAACCGGGTTAGGTTTGGACTAACAAGCAGTTTATACCAGTGCTATGTGCCAGTCTGCTGCTTTTAGACTTCAACGAAACAAGCTCAAGGTCAGCTGACAAAAAAAAAAGCTGGCAAATATATTTAACTACCAAATGTGTTTCTTCTTGCTGTTAGCGAGCAGGCTACTCGCAAGCTAGTGATGGCACAACTTAACAGATACAAACAGACACGTTAACGTGCGCCATATTCGCCGTCCTCCGTCCAGCCGTTCACGGGTTTCACAAGTAACGTTAGTGACGACCGTAAACAGCACTTACTTTCTGAAGAAAGGCCAACCGTTCCATAAACGCTGCCATGATTTAGCAATCCTGGCTGCGGGCTACTCATCTTCCTCGTAGGGCTACGAGGGGAGGGCGGGGCTTGAGGTGACAGCTAGGAAATCTTACAGTCTATTGGCGGGCTCGATGCGCTCGAGGTCGAAAAACAGCGAATCAAATTGAGGAACGCTAGAGCTGACACTTTGATTGACAGGAGGATGAGCCAATCACATCACCGAACATTGTGCAGGACGTTTCCTTCATGACAGGGTCAACAATATGGCGCTAACCATGGCTTACAGAAATGCTTTATCTGGTGGTTGATGTGTATTTTTCATTGAAATGCTTTATGAGTTTGCTAGTACATTTAACAAACCGTAAAGCAGCGTCGGTTTTTTGAATTATCAGCTCGTATTTATCGTGCTCGTCAGCTGATAAAGGACCTTTGTTAACACCTGAGCAGCGACCATGTCTGGGTCAAATGTCTGGAGTCGCAGTCGAGAGAAAATAAGACTTTTCCCCGAACTGTTTGCACAGTGTGCTGGAGAGGTAAGCACCGACAGAGGGGAGCTGTTAAAAGAGAAATGTTGCACTTCTGTGAATAGTTAACTTAGCATTGAAATTCCCCCCAGTTGGCTGCTTATACTACTTAAAGCCACTTAACATCATGAAAACAACAGTTTACCCCCACAGTCAATTAATACTGTAGCACCACAGGTAAACATCCATTATGCAGGTTACAACAACACGCCTGTTACGTTATTATAAAGCACTTGGTTGTTTGTATGTTTTATTTATATAATTAAGATGAAAAAATAAATTAGCATTGGATAAAAATGCACTGTGTTGTAAAATCATACAGAATTAAAATAAAAACCTTTAATAATAATGTATAGTACTGAAGAAAAGTTACACTATTACACATAAGAAAAGATTGTATATGAGCATATAGACAAATACACACCATGTTCACAGTAAACATTGTGTACAATATAACTAAGTAGGAGTTGTAAGAACTAGGTAGTGAGAATGACAGCAAAGTGTAACAGAAACTAGACTTTTCATTTTATATGGGAAATTGTCTTGTAAATCACAGAATCTCCTAATATCCTGAATAGATATGTAAAAATGAGATAGCTGACTTTGTTTTCCTCTGTCAACCTCTGTGTGATTCAGGCAGCAGTGTATGGGAAGTGTGTGGCAGCTACCACAACAGGCAGACAGGAGCTGAAGAAGGACCTGTGTGCCAAGGAATTTGAAGCACTAAAGACCTGCTTTATAAGTGCAGTAAGTGACTGTCAGCTATCCTTCTACCAGTCTTATGTAGTTGTGATAGATGGTCATCACTTTAAAGATATTTTTTTAATTTCAGGCCAAGAAAAAAGCCAAATGAATGGAAACTGTCCTGACTTTGTGAGCAGCAAATTCAGTGGACCGCCCTCAACCGTTCAGAGCTGTGGGAGAAGACAAGAAGTGTTGATTGATTGCTGGAAGCATATTGTTGTATCTTGATGATAGCACTACTTCAAATTGGCACTGTAAATAAACTGAATGTCTTTTTTTGACATTGTTGAGATGGAGACTGCATGTTGTTGCAAATCCTGGTAGCACTGCTACATTCTTCCATATGCGACACTGATAGATTTCTGTAAATATACAGTGGTGAATAAAACATTGCTGCTAGTATCTGCCTTTATTGTGTGAACACAGACTAACAGCCATGGATTTCATAGAGCGCTTTTTTATTTATTATCAGCAAAATGTACAGAAATACAATGCACATAGAAAAATAGTCATAAAAATAGCCTCTTGTACAAAGCAAAGGTCCAGCATGTGTTGAAGTGCTAACTGATGAGAGGAATTTTTAGAAAAGTTGTATTACTAAGAAACACTACACAGTCCATATTTCTTTCCAATGTCTTTAACACAATGCACATATCTTATTTTCTCATAATTACTGTACCGTTTACAGTAAGAGGTCCAGTTGAAACAAAAAGACCACAAACTGAGAAAAACTTGACACACATTTTAGTTGTTTGTAAAATATCACTACTGCAGCATATGGATTTAAAGGCACTGACAAATCAACAGGAAAGAGATGTTGAAGATGGAATGATTAGTAACAAGAATTATGGATCCAATGGATCAAGCTGCTTCATTGTACACAGTTTATCAAACAGTAAGGCTACACTATATACCTCGTAGCTCCAGCAGATACTCAGATACGTTCATTTGAAAGTATAGTGAAACAACACTTACACGAAGGCGCCTGAACCCACATTACATCCAATATGTGGTAAATGTAGATTCAAAGGAACCTTAAACCTTGATCACACAACACATTTACAATATTTACATCTCAAAGTAACAGATAACCACAAAGTGACCAGAACATTTAACACAACATCTGCACAGGAGACGATATATAAAACACAGATCCTACAGAGGCAGACTCCACAGAGCTGGTGAATGAAAAGAAAGTGACTCCAAAAAAAACCCAACATATTCGCCGGTCTAAACACTCCATAGAATGGTATTTGCATAGGTTTATATACATTTAAACAGTAACCTCTTCAAAATATTCTTCCCCTAAAGACAAAAATAAGTTAATATTTACATACATTTTGCTCTTTAATAAAGACTTTGGGTTGTTTCTGGTGTACACAGTATCAAGGAAGAGAAAATGTTTCTCTTTGTCCACAACATTTCTGAAGGCAAGAAAGAATATAAGGCAACAATATCATGGTCCACAGTATTAGAAGTTTTCTGCAGGTGTACAGTGTGTGTTGCTGTCCAATGATTGAGTGATCTTGATCTGTGTGTGTCTGATGTGTGTTATTTCGCTCCCTCATCCTCTGAGGCCTGCTTAATCTGCCGTGAGTGCACCACTGCCCCAGCCAGTAGCTGCTCCTCCAGGGCCACATGCAGGTCTGAGCCCCCCAACTCCAGCAGGGGCTCCAGCCCCGGCACCCCCCTGGGCACCCCGGTCTTCTCTGGAGGCCCTACGGACTCTCCAGGTCCCAGTGCCCTGCGCCTCCGCCTTAGATCCATCTCTCCCTGGTCCCGGACCTTCTCGTGGGAGCCCTGGGGGCGAGCATCGGCTTTGACGGCCCCGTCTCGCACACCTTCTCTGGGGTCCGCCATAACAGCAACTTCTTCTTTGAGGTCTCGTCCTCCTTTCTTCAAAGCTTCAATGTCTTCTCTCTCACCCCCCGGTGCAGCTTTTACAGCTTTTGCGGCCTCTGCGGCTCGCTCCAGCTGGGCCAGCCTCTCCCGAGCCTCCTCTGCATTTTTCTCTTTCCTCGCTCTGTCAAGTATTTCATTGTCTGCCCTCTGAATCTCCTGCTGAAGTCTCTCTTCAGCAGCTTTCTCCTGTGCGAGTTTCTGTTGTACCACTCTCTCCTTCTCCAGCTCTTGTTCTCTGGCCAGATTCTCTTTTCTTTCCCTTTCCAGTCGCTCTTTTTCCACCCTTGCCTGCACTTCTTTCTCTATCCTCTCTTTCTGGGCTCTGTCATTCTCCAGCTCTTGCTGTTTGGCCAGCTTTTCCTGTCTCTCCCTCTCCAGTTGTTCTTTTTCCAACCTCGCCTGCACTTCTTTCTCTATTCTTTCTCTCTCTACTCTTTCTAGCTCCTGTTCTCTGGCCATCTTTTCCTTTATCTCCCTCTCAAGCTGTTCCTTTTCCAGTCTTGCCTGAACTTCTTTCTCTATCTGTTCTTTTTTAAGATTTTCATATTTATCTTTTTCCTTATCCAGGCTTCTTTCTTCATCAGTTGCCGGATCATTCTGAGGTACCATCTGATGGTCACTGGGTCTTTTCTTTCCCAGTGGCACTCCCCTTGCCCCCAGCTCACTCTGTTTATGGGATTCTCCTCTAGCTGCAACGTGGCCATCCTCCTTGTAAGCTGCTTGAACAGCTACTTTTGGAGCCCCAACCTCACCACCCTTATCCCCAGCTAGAGCTTGATTCTCGGCAACGGCATGAGGCTCAGCTACTCCAACCTGTGGAGCTCCAGCTCCCTCCTTGGGCTGCTTCAGGTCTGAGGCCAGGCCAGACTCTTTGGGCTTTGCTGCTCCACCTTCCATCAGCTCCACGTGTTCCGGGATGCCTTTCTCAGCCTCACCTTCAGCACCAGCCCCTTTAAATTAAACACCTTTTAATATTTATTTCTTAACTTGAACACTACCACTACAAGTGTCTTGTCTACAAACATTGTATGTATACGCACCAGCAGGTTGTTTCTGGTGGATTTCCTTGTGTTGCTCTTCTATTACAGCCAGTAGTTTCTCCTGCTGGTCGAGAAGTCTCTTCTGTTGCTCTTGCTGCTCTTTGATCACCTGCAGTAGCACGGCGTGGTCGAGCTGGCCCTCTACATCACACAGACAATAAATTAAAATAAGTCACAACCTGCTTTCAGAACATTGCATTAGTTAAGAAGCTTAGTTAGGCTGATATTGGGCCAGTTGTCTAAGTGAGAGGGGAAGGGAAATAGACAATAATCCACTATGGTACTGTCTCGTCGATCCATTCAAACACACTCTTCTAGGCCTTTAACATGAACTGGACTGGGCAGTATTGGGGAGCTGTAGACACACACAAACTATGTTAGGGGGTAAGGTGAGTGGGTGGATTCTATACTGGCGCATTATTTAGTTATATGATAAAAACACAAATTAATATATGTATTGTACGTATGTAAATATTATGAACTTAACAGATAAATGGCCCACTGAGTGAATGACAGAGCGACAGACCAAGATTAAGAAAAGAGGCAAGAGGGAATTCATACCTGCAACCAGCTTTTTTATCACTGTGATAGGAGTCCGGCAGAGAAAGAAAGGAAAAAAGGGGTAAAGGTGGAGAAGGAGAGAGAGGGCAAAAGTAAACAGAACAAGAAAGTCAACAAAAGCCAAAAATGACTGCGTAGTGCATCAAGCCAGGTCAAGAAGTAGGAGCAAGAAATGGATTTTTATATCTCTGCTGTCTTTTACACTATTTTTACTGTCAAAAAAGGTCCAATAAGCCAGAACAGACCACGGAGAATAGACTACATAGGATAAAACAAGCAAACTGAGATGGGGAAAAGACAGGCAGGGGCATGTACAACATGCAGCAAACCACTGCAAATCCTTTAAAGTTATTTGCAATATAGCCAATTAAGGGAAATCCCCCTTACCTTCATTAATCATTTTAAATTTGTAAGGGAGATTTTCGAGAATAACTACTGATTCTGTCATTCTTTTCCTCACTTGGGGCTAAACAGAAAACAGTCATGTGCTTGGGCTTACTGTCCACAGGACCCCTGTATTTCAGAGGCTTATACACCATCTGCACAAATCTGCAGCTGCATTGCATTCTGTTCAACGAAGGCTACTGTCAAAACACTAACACTGTCACTAAATGATACATTTGTAGTACAGGTGACCTAAGACCATTAACTCATGTCTATACCCCTGGAAGTTTTCGACTCCACTTACCGTCCAGCTTCTCGTCTGCTGTATCTTTGTTGTCTGCAGCTGGAGCCTCGTCTCCAAGAGGATGATGTTCTCCATCAGAAAGTGGAACTGAAGGATCAGCAAATATCATCAGGTCAGTGTCGCATTTTCCACCCAGCTGCTACAGTTACACAAAAACAGTGAGCAATACTCACGTTTCCCTGCGGCGTCTGGAGCTTTGCCGACATTATCGACTTGTGCCACCACAGCCTGTTTATCCACCACAGCCACATTCCCTGCAAGAGGATCTTTTACAGGATCAGGGTTCTCAACTTTCTTTAGCGGGGGAACGTCCTGATTTTTTCCTGCGTCTGCAACCGGCTTCTCCAGCACCTCATTGGATAAGACTTCACCTCCACCCAAATCCACTCCCTCTTTCCCAACAACAGCCTTTGCGGGCTTTGGTTTCTCTTCAACCTTGTTGTCTCTTTTGTCGTTGGCCTCCACAGCACGCACTTGCTCTTCATCTACTTTGGGGTTTTCCTCACCTCCTGGAACTGGTTGTTTCTTGTCCTCCTCGAGCTCTGCGTTGTTCTTCCTTGTGTCTACCTTGACCTCGTCATGAGGGATGGGCGGTTCATGGCGATGGGCCTCCCCCTCTGGCATAGCGACACCTGGGAAAAATATACGAAACTTCACTACTTCTACAAAAGTTCATCGAAGAGCCGGTTAAGATTTGAGCACTGGTTCAGTTTGCTTACCAGCATCAGGGCGGTCCAACTGCACCTCTTCGTCCTTGTTCCTTTCGGGTACTTCCACTGGTCCTTTGATCTGCTGTGGCTCAGCCCTCTCTACAGGTTTTACCACATCCACAGCTGGAAGGTCAGGTTTTTCTATCTCCACTGGCTTCTTGTTTGCAGGATTGTCTATATGCACGACTATATACACAAAAAACACAATCTATAACAACACTGGATATCACCTCCATGAACATGTTAGACGTCAAACATATTGCTCCCTGTTAAGGCAAAATGACTGAGTAAATAAATCTTTTAGTAATAACTTTATACAACCATCAAAATAAAGTTTTATTACTAGGATATTTTTTACTTTTGTTTAGTACGGAGGTGAGCTTTTTATTTGCCTTTGCTGCATTTTGCACACATTTTCACAAAGCCAGTATATACAGTCTGAAAAATATGAGACATTACTGCGCCTGAATTAAGAAACCATAAATTTGACACCTTGTTTATTCTATTTTCTCTTGTCTGAGAAAGTTAAACGACTGTATTACTATTTAACACTGGCCCTGACATGTACTCTTTATTTTCTTGTACAGTTTTGTTTATTACACACATTAACTGCTGGCATTAAAAAAATAAATTAACACCTCAGCATATCTCACACGAACTGTGCATACTGATACCCTCATCTGTAATTGATTTCACTGACTATTTGTAATGAGTTGATCCACTAGGGGGCAGCAAATACTGACAATGGCAATACTGGCACAATTGGCGCAGGTATAATAAATTATAAGGAGAAAGAAGAGAAGAGAGAGGGAGATGAATTCAAATTGAAAATGACAAACAGGAACAGGTGGGGAGGTTGGACCACGTGGGTTTCACCGGGAATAAAAATTTGAGGAAAGAATGAAGTAAAATCAAAGAGGAAACAGAGGCTTTGCTGGTCTCTCTGAACAGGTTAAAAAAAGATGCTATTGAAGAACCATGGGGTAAGGAGAGGAAGTGAAACTAAAAGCCCCTCCTGTTTCACCCTAAAACTGAGAACGTTAACGTTCGTAGGGTTGTATCCGTCTTTGTTTTCGTCTGCACCCCTCTACTCTCCCCAAACCCATATCGCCCTGTTCCCTTTATACAGCTTCAGCTTGCAGGCATTTTAGAGCTGCCACGGGAGATGTGGGGGAGATAGGGGTGTAGACCATGTATTTTAGGGGGAGGGGATGGCAGAAGAAATGAAACAGAGGTGGGGGGGGGGATTACTCGAGTTTGAAGGGCATCACTCTCGCTCCATCAATGTCAGGCACTCAGTGCTGCTGTCAGATATTATCAAGAGGTTATCTCCTCACCCTGGCTGTCTGTATATCAGTCACTCTGTCTGTCACCATCTTTTCTTCTCACAGAAAGGAAATAAAACCCTTTTTTACACCCTTTTGCTGTGGCTTTGTGCCTTTGTTTTAGTCTCACTGGCCCTTTGCTACAGCTTCATATTCTCTTTATGTTGCTGTTTAAGGGCGCTGCAGTCCACGACTTTGAAAATAAAACAAGAAATAAACATGTCTCCCGTGCTGCCGGTACCTTTTGCATTAAATAATTATGTGCTGCACTGCTGTCTGCTTTCAGACGCTACAGAGAACCCTGGCTCTGGCCTGTTGAGGTAAATGTTTCCATGGATCATTAGTAAACCACTTTAATCTACATGCCATCAAGTACGTAAGTGATTGCCAGCCATTAGTGCATGTCATGATCTTTACCGTTCACTTCAGGGTGGTCCTGTAGCAGAGCATTGTTCTTGTCAGGTGCTGGAGGAGGAGGAGCTTGGACCTTGGTGCCGGGACTTCTGGCCGAAATTGAGAGGGTAGTAAAGGTGCTGACCAGCAGGATGCCCAGACCCACACAAAGCACCAGCTACAAGACCGAGAGAAAGAGGAGATGCACAACAGGTCAGAGACTGTGAATAAACATATATTTTAAGATTAGGGAGGTTCTGATTCTGACTATGTCACCTGAGCAATCATCCCATTCTTCTGGATCTTTCTGTAGATGAGAGCAGGACATATGAAGCAGATGAGGCTGCCCATAGTGGCTCCAGTCAGACCCAGAATGGTTTCCACTGAAGAGAGAAAAGGGAAAGAAAAAGGATTATCTTGTGGTCCTTTTAGAGCAGTGACTCCCAACCAGGAGCCAGATGCTTAAAACTCGTAGTTTAGATTCATGACTAAAATTGTGTGTGCTCATATTATAAAGCTTAATTATTGTGGGAATGAGCGCGCGGGCACAAGCTTCATTTTAAGTGATTGTGTTGCATTTTGGCAAGGTTCTCCAACAGCATCCAAACAGCAATCTATACGCATGACTAATCTAATTTATAAATCTCTCTGAGTAACATTTTGCAGAACACTGTTTAGACTACAAAATAACAAACACCTTTCAACGTATACCTCATCATTTCACCCGCAGTTATCTCTTGAAAACTGTGTGTACGTCTGGTCTTTAGTATGTGGGAGGTGCACACATTCTCACCACACATTCTTCTTTTATAAATACCATGTTATGTGTGGGAAAAGGCATACACATTGTTTTTGTGCGCGCATCTCATTTATACATCTGGCCCCAGGAGTACTTCTACCCCAGGGGGTAATTCTGCAGATGTCAGGGTGTATGTGGTTATAGTAAATAATCTGTTGAAATAATGACCTGAATAATGGATGGAATGGATAATCAGTTGAAATAGTTAGCTTAAAGTAATGGATGAATAGGTTAAATAATTAAACAAAGGTAATGGATAAATAGTATATTATAACAATATTTACTTGTTGTGGTCTTACTTAACAACCCCTTAAAAATCAATTGATATGAACACATTTGGAAATTGCCAGGTGGTGTTGAATAAGATAAAAATGTTTGGGAGAAACCTGGTACCACGCTACCACAGTTCAGAGGTTTTGAGTCTTTTATAGCTCTTCTGCTAAAAAACTCAAAGCAATTGCCCATATCTACGCTCTTTGTCACTAGCTCTATTAATACCTGCCTCTGCCATTCTAAACCAGCACCACCCGGCCCTGGGCTCCCATCCATGGCATCCTGCCCTGGCTCCACCCCTGTCTCTGTAGACCAGGCCGGCTGGGCGTCGGGCCTGGAAACCCATCGTTCATCCAGAGGACGGACACCATATTGTCTCCCCCAGATTTAGCATCCATTCTCCCCAGGGTCCTTACCTCCCTTCTCCTCAGTCTATTAGTCTGATTAGATACACAAAGAGCCAGCCAAACTCACTGTGAAAGATTATTTGATGTGTGTGTGTGTGTGTGTGTGTGTGTGTGTGTGTCTAGCCAATCAAAAGTTGAACAAACAGCGACCATATAAAAGGATGAATAAAACATAAACTCATACTAACCTTTACATCTCCACCATTTTGGAGCGGTTTGTGAGAGGGACGGAAAGACGGAAAGAACCTGACAGAGAGCCAATATTGGTGTGTACATGGATTTGTGTGTGTGTGAGAGAGACGGAAAGAGAGAGTGAGAGTGTCTGGGAGAATAATAGCCCTATCTTCCCGTCTGCCCGTCTAAAAGGAGATAAAAGTTAGGGCCCTGATTTAAGGACTGTGTTAGAGTGTGACAGTCACTGACTCGTAAAGTCACATTCACACACGTCGTAAAGCTCCCCAGCTACTCCGCCCACATAAAGGAACACATGCACCTTAAAGACCTTTAGTCAGTGAGCTGTACATGTACGTACACACATACAATTAATTACACACAGACACACACACACAACGTACCGTTGGGGATGAGAATGCCTCCCAGCATGGTGCCAAACACAATGCAGAGGGTGATCGCCTTGAAGCGCAGAGGAGGCATGTATCCCCCGGCTGCAAACGTCCCATCCTTCTGCTGTAAGACGGAAACAGAGAGTGAGATGAGAGGAGAGACATAAATAAATAACATTTTACAAATCTCAAATTTACAATTGGATTTTTGTTTCTTGGGTAGCTTGTGCTACTAAGTGTTTCCAAGTGTTGTGACCACACCGATCCTTATTAACATCATATTGCCAACAGTCGGTACTACTGGTCTGGCTTCCACCAAAAATACAAGTAGGATTTTCTCTTCCCCTGGAAGAGCCAATAGCTGGTTACCTATTGTGCCATATAACAATTATGAAATTTAGATGTGTTTATAATGCTGCAATATCTGGATATGACAAAAATTTAATTAATGTCACAGTTAAGTTTAATAGCAAGTACTGCTAGGGGTTTCTATGTTTCAGTTTTTATTATTATTCAAATTGTGTGACACAGACGGTGGGAGTGCTGGTTCCACAATAATAAGGCAGCAAGTTACACTTTACATTACACTAATAAATTTACTTAAAAGGAACAAAAGTTAGGATTTAAGGTATATTTAATCCAGGCAACACCAGCCCGAAGGGGGACCGTCGTTAAACACATTTGTTATTTTCTATACGTCACACACTTCTGTTTTTGAACCTGTATCTAAATCTTCAAACCATTTGCATTCCCCATACAGCTAGTTTGTTAGGAGCATTCAGGCTCACCTGCTGCTCAAAAAGCATGGTGTTGATGGCCTGGCGACAGGGCAGGATCATCATGGGGAATCCCACAGCCACAGACATCATGAAGCCCACGCGGATCATCTCTGTCACCAGGTTTGACGGGAAGTTCATCAGCACGTTGCCTGCAATGTTTTCTGTGAAACTGACGTAGCCAAAGAAACCCACCTGGTTGAGAGAGAGAGGGAGGGAACCAAGAACAGGGTTGGGAGGAAAGCAAAAAGAAGGAAGATTTTTAGAACCAAGTTTTGGTTCCTCATTGTTTCTAAATGAAACTTACTGCTCACAAATAACACATCTGCTCTGCTGGCTCACTTTTCAAGACTATTTTAATGCTAGTTTAAGAGAATAAAAGAGCAATTTTACCAGCGATATAAATATAGAAAATACAAGAACAGAATTAAATAGCTTTTTAGACATTGATCAGAAGGTGATCAGGACAAACAGATACTCTGATATCACAAAATCAAAAGGTTTCCATGTGACAGCAGTGACAGTGGCAAATGTAGCCAGTAAAAACGGTGGTGGCTGGTGTGCGTGGAGGTGTGTTTTCCACTCACAGTGATGTAGAAGACGGTGACTACATTGAGGGCCGAGGTGAAGATGGTGCTCATGCGTTTGACGGATGGCTCTTCCAGGCTGTCGTAGGTCGGCAGCACCTGCCTGTGAGAGACAAGCAGCCCAACAACAACACAGTCTGCGTGCTGTATGACACAAGAACACACTGGTGCTGCTGCTGTGCATTCATGTGCTGTCTGGATTATCAGATACATAACTTTTGCTAAGAGAAGTCTAACCGTGAGAGTCAGGGAAAGAGCAGTTTCATGAATTAGCAGAGTTGCTGCTGAAACAGCGGACAACATGCAATATATGACATTCTAGCTATCTACTTAAAATGTGGTGCTGCAAACTGCTCTGTGGATTTCTTTAATGTGCAGCCATATGGAGACCCATTTGTGCCACTGAATAATAAAATGATCCATCTCTCTCCTCATATCCTTGTCGTTGCCAATAGATCCTCCTAAATGTAACTTACTGACCCTTTAAAAGTCAAACAAGCAAATCCAAAAACAAGGTATAGCTTGCCAAATGATATTTTTTAGATAATAAAATATTAGTGGCATAACACTCTTAAGGTGGCTTCAACCGGGAAACAAAACAGCCAGTTTTGTATTATTTATTTATATCATATATATACAAATATAGTAAATAAGTTGTTGTTCTCTTGCTAATGTACTTGTTTTGTTTTATGTATCAATCAATCATTCACTCAGTACATTAAGTGATGGATTTGTCCCGTGATCAGATCAATTGATTATTACCTGCAAAAACGGGCCCCCAAACCCACACAGTCAGACATAAAGCACATCAACATACAAGTTTTGTGACTGCAAATCGACTGACATGCACATGAATGCAACAAGTTTGTCAGCAAATGCAATATTTTCATCACATGAATATAATGTTAGTATTGATCAACGAACAATTAATTTGCTACATTTTTAAATTGCAGTCAATTTTTCATAACAGCAGCAGATGGAAGTAATGTCATGGCAGTGGGGGTGGAGTGTGTAGGAAGGGTTTTTTTTCTACATACAAGCATGTGCGTGTATTTGTGTGACACAGAATGGGTGACAGTAGTCAAGGCTGGCTGAGGGTGAACCTGTCTGTCTGTCTGTCTGTCTGTCTGTCCGTAAACCCCGGTATCTGTTTTGTCTGTCATTTTCTGTCCTGTGCTAAAAGAGAGTGTGGCGTTGTGGAGGGGACCATCGGCACATTACCCAGTGAATTTACAGGCTTTATATATAACAGCGAGTGCCTGGCAGGTTTTAGAGCATTATAAACTTTCCTGCCAGACTCTTTGTGCTTGCCTCCTCTTTTTCTCTCTCTCCTTCATGTGAAAGGAAGAAACGAGAGAGAGAGAGAAAGGAACCATAACTTTCTCTGCTTCTCCTTCTCTCTTTGCCTGTCTCTCTTTCACACACTCTGGTTTTATGAGCAAGCACTGTCCCATGGTGCTTTTTCTTGATGCTTGTTTAATCTGCAAAACCAGTAAATCTCGTAGCCAAGGTTAAATAAAACTGCATATTGTAAGTGGGGAGTTAAAGCATCTAATGGTCACTCAATAGTCCAGACTCAGAGGCTAATGTGTTTTTGCTTTAACACTGCCCTTAAATGGAGGAAATATGACGGTGAAGGTCTTCAAAGTGAATGTGGGGAGCTGTGTATGTGTGCTGGGAGGGCTTGAGTGTGTGCTGTAGATAATATCATTAACTTGGAGTTGAAAGCATGCTGACAGTAGCATCACAGAGGGACATTTTCGCTGCACATGTTATTCTTATGTCCCTCTATTATGAGCTAAATGCTCCTCACTATTCAAACGTGCAGCCAAAAAACAACGGGGCCAGCTCCCATCCCGTCATAATGGTGATGTTAAGTAATGTTTTAACTGAAAGTAAACACATTTCATGAATGTAATAAAAATCCAATGTGCTGAGAGCTGTTTAATCAGCCTGTGAATACATCAGTGTGTGTCTGTAAGATGGCAGCGGTCCAATGTGTTGATTAGTGGTTTGGCTTAAGCTGCCTGCCGCCTAACGGAGCGCTCGCCTCGCTCGGCCTGACCGCAGGCCAAGAAATCCCCCTGCCAAATATCACTCAGCACCGCTAGTGGGGACCGACGCACAAAACACACAAGCATAAACACACAAGCACACACGTCTTTCTTCATCTAACATGCACACACCTCGCTTGCTAATGAACGCGCTTGCCATACTATAATGTTATGTTGGCTTTGTGCGATTACATTAATTAAAGCCTCGTTTCAGTCTCAAGGCTACAGTCACCCACTCCTGCCACTTACCTCACTCTCTCTCACACAAACAAACCCAAACAGTAACACCACCCAAACATCTGGCTCCTAATGACCTCACCGTAACACTTTCTGCTTCCTTCCCCAGAAATGCATTCAAATCAAAGATAAGACTTGGTACACCCGGATCCCACTAGACCTTCACACATTCCCTTTCACCCACTCAACTCACCGCAAACCCAGAGCAAGCACTAAAGCGCATAGGACAGGACAACAAGAGGCAGAGACAGAGCATGCAGATGGATGAATATGGAGAAATGAATACAGCTGTAAGAAGTGATATGTAGTGATCTCTGCAATCACTGTGGACGCAGTTAATGAAATGCCAGAATTAGCTTGGAAAAAAGAATATCTCAATAAATGTATTTGCCACACTAGCTAGGCCTGCATCGCTGTACATTTCTCCAATCAGAAAAGTTGAAAAATGGACAGAAACTTCACCAAAATGTTTTTATTTCCCCTTTTTGTTAGCTAACACTCAAGAGCTTATTATTCTTGCAGCTGTAGTTCTCATTGTAGTTTTTGGGACATTTAAAAGTCGCTCGAGAGTTGTAATTTTAAAGAGTTTTATTTGTGTCACATCAGACAAAAATTAACTTATGTTGGACAAAAACAGTCTCTACTGAGGTTAATTCTAGAGAGAGCAGACCTAACGGTGGAGCAGAAACCGATGAGCTGACTGTGAAAAGCAAAAATAAGCAGCCTCTCTTTGCAGCCAGAAATCCCTCAACAACAATCTCATCTCCACAACCAATTTGTGTGCGTCTTTACATGACACTCACCCCAAACCCTCCACTGTGGCTTAAAGTAGCAAGTACACATGCACTGATTGTGACGTTTGCTTAATTTCTACATGCAGCAATAAAAGATTCAATTCACTGTTGTGCTGCAGGAGTTATACAGTGGAAAAGCCCCCATTTGAGAACCTACCCACCTCGTGATTTTAGGACTACTGTCAGATTTTCAATATTCTGAATTTTGCTTCGATTCTTGTTTGACATTAGTTTTATTACATGGTCCCGTGCGGGTGGAGGGCGGGAGGAGTACTTACGACTGACAGGCGAAGGCCATCCCACAGATGGGGAGACAGCGAAACACACCCTCCCAGCGCACCACATTGACCTGTCCTAGCCACCAGCCGCTGAGCAGCCCGTGTTTGAACGAGGACAGCACCATCTGAGGGGAAGGAGGCGGGGGGGAGGGGGGTTACGGCCCAAACCAAATGAAGACAAGTGGGGGAAGAGCACGAAGAAGAGGAGGGGGACTGCACCCATGCCGACGGCTCACAGACAGATAATGAAAGTAATGAATGAGGAGAGAAAACCAGAGAAAATGAAGAAAGGGAAACAACAAAAGAGACATGTCGAGAAACCCCATACTGAACTAAAAACCTGTCGTAGCAAATTTGAGCGATGAAGGTGATACGTAGTGAATAAAAGTGAAATCATAAATTTGATTTAAAAAAAAATAAAAGGCTTATGAAAGCAATCTAAAGACAAACTACTCCACAGGTTTTTGATCAGCATGCGTTTCCTACATCTTGCTCCTTTAATTACCTGATTAAGTCCCAAAGGACAGCAGAACACTCAATAACCCTCCACCCTTCCACACCAGGCTGCCCATCCTGGGTGTGGGCCGGTGGTGGGAGGGCAGCAAACATGACACTTTCACTTCAGTATATTACACTCCTCTGCCTTATAACTACTGCCACCAAACACACACGCACACAAACACAAATACACACACTCACAGAGCTCAAATGGCTCAGACCAAAACCCGAATTAAAATGTGAAAAATGGGGATGACTCAGAGGAGTGGGCGGAAGGTTCAGGTAAGCAGGAGGGGGGAGTTTAAGGAGTGTGAAGTGGCGGAGAAAACATCGGGCTTCCTTCACTTTCCACGCCCCCCACTGCCCTTACGGTGGTGTTATTTTGGGGGTGGTTTCCGTGGTTTACTTACGGGTGACAGCAGAAGGTTGTGGCGATAATGGGCAGGCACTGAATGACGCCCTTGATGCGCCACAGGTGAACCCGCTCCACCCAGGAGCCCGAGATTATGCCGTAGCGCAGAGACGACAACACTATCTACAACACCGCCAACAGAAACAGCAGTGGGACAGAGGGGAGCAAACAAAGGGTGCAGAGGAGGAGAGGAGGTAGTCAAGGAGAGTAAGGGAGAGCAGAAGGACACAAGGGAAAAAGAGGAAGAGCAAGAAGTGGTACAATGAGCAGAAAGGAATAGGACGACAGGAGGGAGGGAAGGAGGAAAGATACATCACTGTTAGAGGGTTAGGGGTCTGGACTGGGCCGGGCCTGGATCTGAAGCCAGACACACACCACACCAATGCTCCAGGTTATCGCCATGCTACGGAACTACAAGTCACATCACAGAGAGACTGTAAACAGCAGTGAGGAGTCTGTGTAAGCAGCACTACAGGTCAGTAAAACCGCACACACACACACACACACACGCACGCACACAGACTTTATGTGTGCACTTAAAGGATAAATGAGCTGAATCACATGAGGCAGAAAACTGCTGCTGGACTGTCAATGGAGTCAAACTTTTTAGTATGTCACACCTCTGACCATTCTTTAACCTAGTAAGCAAAGATTCATCAGCTGTGAGAGGGCTGTGTGTTTAGTGCTGCTTAGTGTTGTACCAGTTTCTACTTCAGTCACTCGGGAGTGCAGTGCTGTGTCCCCTCTTATTATATGTATTAATGTGAATACTGATAGCAACGGTTTTAATATACGTTTTGTAGTAGTCAAAATGTGCGCCATGCTGTTCTGATTCCTGTTAGGACTGGACCGTTGTCTCTGCTGAGTTTGCACTAGTACTGAAACAATTTGTTCATGAATTAATTAGACGATAATTTACCATGGTTTTTGGACAAAAAATAGCTATTCGAAGTGAAATCTGGGAAATTGTGATCAACATTCTTTACCATTTTCTGACATTTCATAGAATACTTTATTAGATTCAATAAAAATTCAAGATATCAATCATTCATTGACTGATTGTGGACGTATCTAAAACACTACTACAAAGCAGTCTGTACAGGGAAAAACTGATTGTGTTTGTGACCTCACAAGACGATTACAGAGCTTACTGTATGAACTGACATGTATTACCATCAGTATAACGTCCGTATGACTATATAGGTGGCCACCTGTTAAACTATGTATTGCTGTATTTTTATGTTCCTTAAAAAAAAACTATATCAGAAACAGCCTCTACAGCAGAAAGAAAATCTTTCAAATAGAAAGAAGAAATTCTTTTATAAACAAGTACAAAACAGTATCATATTAAATACTGGTTGGAGTGTTGGCAGAAGTGCAGCAGATAAAAATGTTTCGAACAAAGACACAACCCCAACATTATCAAAGGGTCGAAGAAGGGCTAAAAATATGACTTCTTTAACTCCTCAACCGTAAATCTTTTTTCTTTTTTTTAGGTTCAAATAATTATTAAGTTTGGATTAACCTCAGAAATGTTTCAGTAGGTGTTGCTACAATATGCTATATACTGTACAAACCAATGAATGGGCTAGAAAAGTCCAGAGGAAGTCTGAAATATATAAAATGCATGCATGCAGACAACAAATAAGCAAATATAGAAAGATAATTAAAAAAACAGTTTGAGATTTAGCACAGTTGATTACCTGACCTCCATTTAGTTTGCACCTACAGCGCTTAAAATGTCTCTAGTGGCCATTTCAAAGTGTTACCTCCTTCCCAGGGGAAGTCTTTGTTTCAGCCTATAAAGAGCAGTGCAGCAATTGTTTTCTGTCTGATGTGATTTAGTGTGGATTTGCTCTTTAAAAAAAGAGGAGCAAGACAATATTGCACTGATAAGAAGACATAGTTATATACAATGGAGCAAATAAGGAAGAATTAACAAAGAATACAACAAAGTAACATTTATCCAAACAATATTCAGAAAATCAAATAAGTTAAAACAGAGAGCAACGTCAATGATGAAGGTTTGTATGTTGAAGGTTATAAATGTGTCTGCAATATTTATATGTACTATGTATTTGGGGGAAACGATGACAATTACGAGCACAATGGCTTCAGAATCAACTCTAGTACTTTAGGAATACACATAACATAGAGAACATAAACACACATCGACATCATTGGACAACAAATCCTATTCCAATGCTGTAAGAAAAGCTGTACTCAATTGCTATGACTAAAAAAAAATTCATTTGTACACCTTAACAATTCTGAAGTGTAGCAGGAATGATTTAAGTAAATGCCATCTTTCTGTCCTGCAGATGTCAGTTAACTACAACCTAACTTAATAAAAAAGTTCTGCTTCGTGCATTTTGATTGTCACGTTTTTGTAAGCAATGCTGAAGTGCGTTTCCACTGCAGTCTATTCAGATGCATTGTGTGGAGTGTAGCTGTCTGGGTGTTGGTGGGCTCACCGTGAACATAAAGAAGGTGTAGAACATGAGTGCCATTGCGGAGAAGGACTGGATGGAGGACATCATGTTCCTCTGCAGACTCAGTGGGAGGACAATGAACAGAGACACAGCAAACAGGAGCAGCACGCGGAAACTGAAGGTCACCTTTATAGGACAGTGACATGATAATAATACAACATTGTTTCTTAAGAACTTATAGTTATTAACGGTTTTGGTTGCTTAATAGTAAAGTTAAGTGCAGAAGAGAGCAGTGGAGACAAAACATATGACTTGATCATGAGAGATGAATATAGCAAAAAATGATTTCAAACCTGTAAACCCAACAGCTGGGCGAAGAAATTTGAGCCCAGATCAGCTATCACAACGTAGAAGGCAATGCAGGTCCCCAACATCAAACCAATCATACTACAGGGGGAAAGAGAGGAGTGAAGACTCAGTTATTATTAGTGTCTATGGTTTCATTTCTTATACGTCTATTATTTGTCTCATTTGTAGAGAATCAAGTCACTTCAAAGACAGCATAATGTGTGTGTAAATCAATAATAAATAAGACTTGCCTCGTCTCCACCAGTGTTTTTCCTGGTTTCCCGTAAGCATGGAAGGCTGCAGATAAAGAAGTGACATCAGTGTGAACAACAAGTGGCCCAACAGATGTTAGTCTTAAAAATAGTTTATTCAAATAACATCTATCAAACCACAATAACCATGCTTATCTATCCTTCCCAACACACTTGTTATTCACTATGTGTACTACAGTACAGTAGCTTAAACTTTCTCTTTTACTTTAATCTGCAAGATTATTTATTATCAATGTGGTTAGTGATGTGGTTTACTGAAAAGTAAGGTTAACTTTCTGTTGCTGATACAATTTTATCTGACTGTTCAGTCATGATGGCTGCTGTTGATACTGCTTCCAACTTCTTCCTCTATTTAAAAAAAAAAATAATAATCAGTGGCTGCCAAAAAATGTAACACATACCACGCCTTGTACAACAGAGAGTTGCAGTTCCTGCCAGAAACTGCCCACTAAGTAAAAGTTGTAGATGTAATACCTTTTATTAACTATATAAACGCTGAATCATTATTGTACCGTGCACTATAGGGAGCAGCAGCAAATCATTTACCCACATTAAAATGTCACTTGTTAAAATTTAAACTTACCCAATCCCGCATAGGTCCTTCTCTTGGTGTTGCTCGCTGTGTGGACCAGGAACATGCAAGACTTGTGGGTCATCCACGAACAGAAGAACAACAGGATAGTTCCCAGTACTATTCCACACTGTAAGAGGACAGAGGCACACTTAAACACTCAGCATACAGACATACAGACAGACATACATACATAGAGTTGCCCTGAAATCTGGTCATCTTTCAAGTACAAAATGCTGAATGTATTTTACCTGTGTTTAAAGTGACCTTGATTAAGTCTTGATGCCCTGGTGATGTTTAGTTTATTTATACATATACTTCATGATATAACAAAAGGTAAAGATTCACATGGGAATGATAATGTTTCTTTTTCACTGAAAAAACTTTACAAATTAGGGAGAGGAATTGATAAGAGTTTATTGATGTGCCTACCCAGGTTTTAAGCGTCAACAAAACTGATTTATTATCTCTGAGTAGATAAAAAGGCATTCACGTGACTCGAGTGTGCAAAAGCTTTAGTTTAACCGCTCTTTAATATAGAACCAGTTCTCAACTGGAACCGGGTCTTGATTCAGATCTCTAATATTTGTACAGCATTCGTTTTCCTTCAGGTCAAAATCTGCTACGCCTGTCTGCGTGGCACTAATGTTATTATAACAGAATATTTACCCTTGGTACCCCCCCTAAAGGACATGCTGCTCAGTTAGGAAGCAGTGGTACTCAGGCATAGAGTGTCAAATACATGGCATTCCTGGAATTTAAGCCCATGTTTCAGCATATTGTTGGTGTTTCCTCACTTACTCAAATGTACAGACATTACAGCTAGCACGGTTATCAAGTTTCTGTGTGAAAAGAGGCCACGCTTTGGACTGTTTCTTCCTCTCCACCATGACTCTGTCTTGTTGCAAGTTTCCAGCAGCGTAGTTTGTTTTGCAATACACAACAGTTCTCAGCTGGAACCGGTTCTCAATTCCCATCCCTAATTAAAACCATGATGATGTGACATGTATTGGGGTCTGTCCCGATAGACGTGTTTTCTTTCAACAGCACTATAGTAATTCATTATAACGCGGTTTTGTCACATATTTCACCTTTAAAAAACTGCAGCTTCTGCAATTTGTATATTGCACTTGGCCATATTGCAATTTTGATCAGATTTTAATTAATTGTGCAGCCCTAATGCACACTACCTGGGCTGTTTTCAATTGACATTTATAGTACGAAAAGAACAACTTTGTTGACATTTTAAACAATCTGATCCACCGCCCTTATAGATAGATAGATAGATANNACAGTAACAATACAATAACAATACAATAAGTAAGGAGAACAACCTAGACATATATATATAAAAAAGCAATATAAAAAATGCAAAATAAAAAAATGTATAAAAATGTATAAAATGTATAAATAAGCTGTATAATTGTAGTGCAAGTAAAAATAAAAATATAAATATAAGGTGATGACATGTGATTTGTGAACTCAAGGGCCCAACTAAAATATTGTCATGTTGGAGAAGTGCCATCCTCTATCCTCTTAAGTTCGATAAGTTAGACACTGCAAACATTTTGAACTTGCTTTTTACTTGTTCGGTTCTTGGCCACACACAACAAACACAGAGAGACAGTGAAGCAGGAAGTGGGAAGAAATACTTCTCAGCAAATGGTTTCCTGAGAACATACTTTTATCACAGTGAACTCAAGGGTGGGGGGCAATACCAAAGGGTATTTCAGCAGAGTTTTTGCAAATACATCCGGTTTCAAAAAGTAGCATTTCTACCAAAACCTGTACGACAACATGAGTGAAAAGACTCTTGATGCAGTCAGGTGGAGATGTTTATGTTTAACCATGCATGTATTGAGCTTATGAGGAAGTTGCCAGGCTATAAAAGTAACAGTCATTCAATCAATCATTAAGTAAATTTCCCTTTAGAATGATGTCTTTGTTTGTTTTGCGTTGTCATTTGTCCTCTACAATGACAACACCAAACACAAGGCCAACAGGAAACACACTGCCACCAAGCTGAAGTTTATGTTGTGTTATATTTTATGTTTCCATCCATTTTATATCAGCGAGGTTTGACCAAATATTAGAAACACCTGCGGAGAATTCAGCACAACCCTTAACAGTAACTGACAACTGTATATAATATTATTTCAATTAACTACATCCAACATAAGCATGTTCATTTGTACTTTTCAGATTTTAATATATATTATTAGGTTGTCATAGGCTGTGTGTATTGCCTGATGTGTAGTGTTAATGAAATGAAATAAAATAAAACATTTCCCTACACCTATACATCGGATTTATCTGATTAAAACAACATATAGGTAGTCAATGGTATAATATGGTATAGACATATGGTATAATAATGCAGGTAAAATGGCATTAAGGTACTGCTTATATGTTAATGCGTCAATAATGATGGCCCAATAATATATTAACTATTTACCATTCTGCACAATGAGTACATTTAAAATACAATACTTCTGTTGTGCTACAATTTTAAATGCAAGACTTATACTACTAGTTCTACTTGCTACGTAAATAATCTAAATACTCCCTCCACCACAGTATAGAGTGAGAAACAAACACATAAATAAAGGTTTGTCACCTGCACACCCACAGCTGACCCACCTGTTTGAAGCAGAAAGGCATCGTGAGCACGCTGACTCCCACGATGCTGTTCACCACGTTCATGATAAGACCCCAGTTGGACGCCGTCATGTTGAGCCGTCTGTCGACAGGAGCTCCTCCGGTAAGAAAATATCAACCGACCCGGTGAAGCGTCTCGGAGGTAACCGTGTGATATGCGGTCCACAGCCGGGACTCGGGACTAAATTCCGGGTGTGTTTTTCTGACTCCTCCGCCGATCAATGACGTGGCGCTCTGGGAGGAAACACACAGACACAACTCAGTTTGACGTTTGACACATTTGAAGCTTTCTGCCTCTTGTGAAAACACCCGCTAACCGAACACAGACACAAATGTAAAATGTATTAAAGTAAACACCAACAGGTCGTTAATATTGTAGCTTTGGGCTAGCGTTAGTAAGTTTCATTAACTCACCTTTCTCTGCGTCTTCTGCGCCCACCGCCCCGCTGCCCCGTTCACGTTATCATCGGTGACTTTGTGACATTAAACGGTCACTTATTGTTGATGAAATCCCGCCTTTGTGTGTGTGAGAGCTACAGGTAAACGGAAACTCAGGAGAAGATGATAACTACAAATCCAACTGGGCTGTTTTTTTTTTTGTTTTTTTTTCTGAACGCGTATCCAGGAAGTAGGGACATCAGTCGAGGAGGTGGAGAAGACAACAAAGCCTGCTGGTTTCATTACTGTTGAAATACTTGAGCGCCCACTAGTGGCCACATGAGAGGACGCCTCCCCCCCTTTTCCTTTACTCTCTACTTTCTTCCAGCATATTCATGGTTTTATCGTTCAAGGACTTTATGTTTTTATGTTCTTTAAAACTTTAGATGGAAATGTTTTTATTTTTATTTAACTGTGTTTATCTGACGGTTCTTGCTACAAGTTATTTTTCACCTTTTTTTTTTTTTACCTTAAAAACATTTAATAAGCTTAGAAAATACAGTGAATTGTCAAAGATTAAAACAGTAGCTCTCAAGCTTTTGACCTTTTGACCTTTTACAAAAACAGGGTCTATTTAGGGCCCTTTGTCATGTTTTAGATGTCTGTGAGTTGTTGTCAGTCCCGCCAAAGAGTTATTAACCCTCTAAACCTTTCAGGTGGTTTCCTTCCCATAAAACTGCTCAAATATTTCGCAAATAGACTTAGAGTAAGAGAGTTTTTGCAACTAAATGTGGGACCCTTTTGAGGGGTGTCTGAACCCTAGGTTGGTAACTACTGGAGAAAACTGGAATTATATAAATGAGTAAAAACCAACTCTAACTCAAAATGCTACCGACTCATTGGCAGTGACAATCTAATAATGTCATATGCATTAATGTATCTGTCACATGAGTCATTTTTCTGCAGCATGACTACTTTTACTTTTGATACTTTAAGCTCATTTTGCTGATAACACTTTTGCATAAATAGGATTTTGAATGCAGGTCTTTTACTTTTAATTGCACATTTTTACATTGTTTTATTCTTAACTAAAGGACCTGACTAGTTCCTCCACCAGTGACGAGCTCTGTAATGATAACAATACCAACAGACAATGCGTGAATCCTGTTTTTCCAGTTGCCTTAGAGAGTCCCTTCAGGAAAGGGAAACAGGCAACAGAGGGATGCGAGGGATAAAGGTGTGAGAGGGAACAAAAAAAGACTAAAACAGAAACAGGCCGGTCGTGGATGACGTCAGAGAAAATAGTCAGCCCGAGCACCTGAAATGTTGCTGGCAGTAATAGCGGGGTTTATTTCCGTCATTCAAAGCGCCTGCCCGGTGCCCTCTCTGATAGACGGCTATTGTGTTGTTTGACCAGGAAAGAGAAGAAGGAGCGAGGGGCTGGAAGTGAGGAGGGGAGATGAGGGAGGAGGAGGGGTGAGGGTTGACCTGGGAGCTTTCCCCCAGCCGGGTGTGCTTTCCCCCGGGGACGGAGGATTTTCAGAGGCAGGGATGTGATGAAGCTTTGAGAGGCGGACGGGGGGGAATTTTGGATTGTATAGATGTGTGTGTGTGTGTGTTTGCCTTTGTGGAAAGATTGCAGAAAGTCCTATCTGAAGAATTTGTGCATTCTTTCAATTTTTATCTCTGAAAACATACTTTCTAGACTTGAATATGTAATATTTTTTTAATCTTACACATTTGTATAGTTGCTATCATTATGGGATTTCTTTTTTTACACACTTATTCAGTCTTATTTTTTCCCGTGCTGTCTATTTTTACCTTTCATTGTTTACTATTCTTGCATTTTTACCCTCCCATAAAGCACTTTTTAGGTCTGCCTTTTTAACTTAAATGATATAAATAAAGTTTGTTTTCATTATGTGTGCATGTGTATGAGTGTGTGCGTGCATATGTATGTGATCAGAGAGGTTAAGACAGGAAAACCCTGGCCATTGTGCACAAGTGACCCCTCAAAATCAATGTGACAGACCGGTTGATTGGCTGGAGGGTCCTGTCTCTCTGCACCTAATCCCTCAAGGTAGACCCTCAGCCAGGCCTGCTGAGCTCATAAGTGTGTGTGTGAGAGAG